GGAGGGGACGGGGAGGGGGAGGGAGGTTAGTGAGAAATTGGTTAATGCTCACAAGAAATGTTTAAGTTTTGTAATGATGAACATGCTATTTATCTTAATTTAATCATCACATATTGTACACATGTATTGATATTGAACTGTGTACCCCAAGATATATTTAATCAATTATTTTCAATAAAAAATAAAATGTAATAAAAATTGTACATGTAGGATAATAGGAATGTATTTTACCACTTGTGAATAAGGGACATCAACTTTCACTTCAACATTACATGATTAATTGTTTCATACATATACATATATGCCTTACATAAAGGAAATACATTTATCTTGCCTTACAAACTCTTCCAACTCGAGAAAGAATGGTCTTATCAGAAGTGCTGCCTTCTTGAGATGACTCACGAAAGAAGAAATATATTTTATCATCATCTGGATTGTAGGTGTCTGGTATGGGGAAAGTTCCAATAAATTTTGCTCCTGTTTGAATGAAAAGAAGCTATGAATTAAAATACTGAAGCAATCCAGTTGTAATAGTGCTGGTGTCCTGTGTGTGTAAAACAATTATCAGCAAAAAAAGAAAGAAAGAAAGGAAAGAAAGAAAGAAAGAAAGAAAGAAAGAAAGAAAGAAAGAAAGAAAGAAAAAAGAACCAGAACCATGAGTCCGAGGTTTAAATGAGAGATGTGTACACAAATAAACATGATAAAATGTAGAAACATTTATTAGCATAAAGTACTGAACAAGTTCTCTGTTATTCCAGACAGCAGGTGAGGACATGATTGGCTGATAACTCACAATTGTTACAACTCTACCAAATTACTTGTAAGTCTTTCCAAATCTAGAGATTTTATGACTTTGTATTCTCCTTCTATATAATGAAGTCACTGTTTTTTTTTTTTTTTAACTACAATGTCTTTAATAAACAGCGGAGGAAAAACTATAAAGATATCTCAAATTTTGACATACTATTATGTTCTTTGCTTCATTTTGTGTAACTGCCCAAGGGGAAAAAATAGAAACAACCACTAGTGCTTGAATCAACTCCAGTATAGTCTCTGGAGACACTTTTTCTAAGTTTGTATCTTATCTCTGCCTCTTAATGGAAAGATGAACTTACACCAATTATTTCTTCTCCATGCCTCAACTTTTTCATGCATATTAGGCTACCAATGTCATTCACCTAGTAGGATAACTGATGTGATGACCAAGTGGGTTAATAAACATAAAGCACTTAGCATCTGGCAGTGCCTGACATATAATAAGAGTTCAATAAATGTGATTTATTATCAAGACAGTGATGGGCATGATAATTATGATCATTATTATGACCAATAACAAGAGGCTTGATAGAAAGCTGAGCATATCCATGTACTTGTAAAGATAATATGAAGTTATTTAGAAATGAAGTATGTCCGTATGTATTCACATGAAAAGCTGTCCACAACATTTGTAAAGTGAAAAAGCATTTGGAACACAACAAATCTCTTTGCACTACATCAATAATTAATTGATTTGGGTTGCCAACTCCTTGTTTTAAAAGTATTGGAAAGTTTAAATCTGTTTTATACGAGGGTTCTTCAAGAAGTTTTTGAAAAAATGAAATATACATCTTTCCATGAACTTTTTGAAGATCTCTCATATAATTGTGAATTAACCAGGTAACAGATCTATAATTGGCTGATACTAGTTCAGAAACAATCTTTTGGTGAAAGCAAATGGTTGGTAAAGAATGAAGGACTTTAAGTAGAATATGTGAGGCACCTAGAGGAAAGCACAGAGCTCTGAGTGTTTAGGAAATAGAAGCAGGAGAAAAGAGAAGACAAAAAGTTTAAAAACAAAACAAAGAAAAGTGGTAGGAGGTGAAAACAATCAACATTGCTTTTTCTAAAGTTTCTTTGATTGATGTGAACCCTGGCAATACTGAAAATCATTCCCTGCAAATGCACAGCAATTGATCAATAGCCCAGTAAAGTAAGCTTCACAATAGCCTTCAATAGACAAAAGGTAATGTTGGATTCCGAGTGGTGGGTAGTCAAGTCATTATCAGCCCAGCTTCGCTAGGTCAGCGCTATGTTTCCCACCCAATCTCTGCTCTGCTGAAATGAGAAACCTTAAGAGGAAAAGAGAGGACGGAAATATGCGCATGCACCTTCTCTTTATGCTTTATTATTTCCCTATTCTTTTCTGGAATTTAGAACTCCAATGGATTTTTACACTCCTGATAATCTTGCTATGGTATCATCCTAGAAAATTCATAAAAATTAAATTTTGGAATACCACATTCTTTGCTAATCAATCTTAAATTGTCAATTAACAATTTAAAATACAATGTTTTTTTGTTTTGTTTTGTTTTTTCCCCTCTTTCTCTTAAAAGAAAATCTCTCTTTTAAGTTGTTGATAAATCACAAACATGTGATCTTGGTCCCTGAGCAAAATAAAAATCCTTTTTTGGTCACAAATGAACACTTCTGATATTTATTTAAACATATTTTCTTGAAAAAAAAAAACAGCTCTTTGTGGAAACAAATTTTTCTATAAATGTGGAATTAGGGTTTTAGCAAATTCATGAAAACAAAAAAACTTTATTTAATTACTACTATATTTAAAGAGCTTAGAGCAGAAAAGAAAAACTGCTAGAAACAAAGTACAAAAAAAGGAAAATACTGAAACTATGCAGAAATCACAAGAATATGATTGGCTTCCCTTGTCTTAGCAAATAGTGAGCTTCAAATGGTCATTAACATGAATAGAATTTATTGTAGCACTCTAATATAGACATCATAATTGAGTTAAAATTATAATTTAGAAAATAACAAGGTGGTAGAAAATTTACACATTGTGTGAGAGTAGTTTGTAAAGCTTTCCTCAGATACTCAGATGCTAGAAGTGGTTATAGGAGTTGATTGTTTAGTGTCACTTGTTTATAGAGTTCATCAAAAGAAACACAATTCTAAAACAGAGCAAAAAGTACAAGTTCTGAAAGGAGAACAAGTAAATTCATTGCCATATTGTAGAAATGCACAGGACAAATCACTCTGGACATGAAAATCATTATCTGGGTGTTGCCAGGTATTGCTACTTGAAATGGTCAAAGGTATAGAGTATGACACTAATCCACATTTCAGGAATTTCATTACGACATCAATGGGGGAAAACAGTGTAGATACTTTTTCAAGTATTATTTCTTTTAACTTTTAACTAATATATAATATACGTGGCCTTGTTATGTTTGTTTATTCAGTCACTGTTGATTTTACTGAACTCTCTCTTAAATGTTGGTTCTTTTACAGGTATTGTAAGAAAACTGCTTTGGAGGAGAATGGTGGAATTGTGTAAACCAAATATTATATAAAAAACCTAATTATGAAAAAAAGAGTATCAAATAGTACTCTAATCTGTGATTTAAACAATAAGCATACTTACGAGTTAAAAATAAATACAAGTTTCAAGAACAGAGAGTTTCTTACAGATTCCATTGAGGTCCTGTCTTAGAACACTGATGTTAGTATTTTATGATAGAAACTTTCCTGGCTTGCTGCCAAACTTGGTAAAATTAGTATCATTTAATCAGTGCATAGTTGTTGAATTAAACAATTTTAAATCATACCAATAGACACCTGTGCTTTATTATTGCACAGTTTTCCCCTTTGGCATTTGAAACACATGCCCTAGTAAGGATGGAGTTTGAAATGTGGCATTTTCACAAATAAACTTCTAGCATGACACCAAGAAGCACTGCCAAATGAGAATACCATAAACCAGTGTGGCCTGTACTCACACTGCTTTCATTTTCCCTATGAACATCTTTTCACGCAGATGAGCACCCCTATCCCCGTGATTTAATAGGTAGTAGGTTTCTAACTTCCTTTTATTTCTTCTTATATCTTTTTTCCTATTATTTTTTTCTTAATTTTCTCCTTTTATGTGGAAGAAGCATTTATAGACAGCAGAGCATCCCAAGAGAAACTTCAAATGCAAACTGCCTCCATATGTTAAAAATAAAAATTTAAAATAAAAGTTCTCATCTATTCCAGGAAAGAAAACAAAAACATATGCATCTGAGGCATCATTATTTGTTTTCTTTTTGCAAGTGGTCTTATTTCTTATTTTTATCCTAAAATTTTAACAAAAACTAACCTGCATTTGAGTAGCCACCCTAACTTATATCTATTTTACTATTTCCTGATATGTTCTAAGTTCAAGTTGATAAAGAAAACTGTGGAAGCATGCTAAGTCTTCATCTAGAACTGTCCATAGTATTTCATCTTTGTAATTTTTTACCCTCCTGGCAAAGTATTTAATAGATGGCTTAGTATCGCAAGGAAGAAGACAGTCCTGACAAGGAATTTTGCACTGTTAAATGAAGAGGTTAGCTGATCTCACTCTGGTTAAACCTAAGTAGGGCACAGAACACAATATGGCTTACTTAAATGTGTTAAGGATTTTAAACTCCTTAAGTAGGTCAGTGATAAAAATGGACTTAAGAAAGACTCATGTAGCTTCATATTTAAAAAAGATAATTCTTTAGATTCTGCATCTTAATAGTTAAATATTCAATTGCAAATTTAACTTAATTTTTGCATTTCACTTTAAACATACTACCACATCTACATTTACAAAAGTTAGGTTCATCATGGGCATGTAAAAAGCAGAAATTTAAACTGAAAAAAAAGCATAGAAAGCAAAATTTAACAAAACATTCTCTAACTAGAAATAAACAATACACTGATGTAATTATATATAGAAGAAATAACAAAGACGGCGTTGACTCCATTATTTGAAATATTAAATATTAGTCAGTTCTTTCAACTCAGCAACAATCTTATGAAGCCCAGCAGTAAGTTTCATATTAACATGCTGTATGGACAGGAAAGAAAATTCACAAGTATGCCACATTATATGATCATTGGCTATCATACATAATTAATAAATGAGTATACTTTAAACCATCACTGTCCAATAGAAGTTGCTGCATTGATGATATCTTTTATATCTGTGCTATCCAATATGGCAGCCCCTAGCCCATGTGGCTATTGATCTCTTGAAATATGGCTAGTGTGACTGAGGAACTGAATTTTAAATTTATTTAATATTAATTACTTTAAATTTAAATAGCCACATATGTCTAGTGTCTACCATATTGGACAGTGCGGCTTTAGACCAAGTAGCCTGTGTCAGTAGCTGTGCTGTGGTAGGTCCAGTGTTAAGGCAGAAACAGATTCTTTATTCCCATAATTGCCACCAAAAAGGCCGTCAAGCTTCCAGATTCAGAAGATATAATAGGCTACTCTTCCCACAGGCTTAGTGTTGTGATGGAAGAATGAGCTTGGCAGCTAGGAAACCTGGAAACGTCCCTTCCTCATGCTATGTCTCCATTTGTAAAATATGAAGTTAAATAGGATAATGTCTAAGATAACATTCATTCCCAGCAATCAGCATAGTTCATCTGTCTTCTCTCTCCTCACACTCCTGACTCCAGCCAGATGACCCCATTGACTTCTGTCTTTGGATCGTAGGCTGACTATATTTGGAAAATGGCCATTTCTCATAAAGGAGGACTAAAATGTTTGTTGAGCAAGTGAATATTTTGTCTTAGCCCATCAGGTCCCTCCTCATTATAAGCATTTCATATTGTTTCCATAATTTCTCCCCTTGCTCTGCCCTATTTTTAATGGACTGGGAAACTCCTGACTGACTGAGTCTCCTGAAGCTTGTGCTCTTCTACCTCTGGGCTTTCTTTCCCTCAGCAAACACCTGACCTGCTGCTGGTACTTCCCTTGATGGCCAGACTGCCTAGATCTCCCCCACTGTTGCCTAACCCACCTTCCCTCTCTGTTTTAGTACCTGCTAACAGACTCACATCTTTGCTTTGCTATTGTCCAACATGGCACATAGACATGGACTGTGTTTGTGGTGAGGCTGTAAGAGCAGGGTATGTGTAGCCAAAGGGCAAAATTTGGGTTGATGAACTGTGTCAAACAATGGACAGAGCATAGTGTCTATGGCTGGATAGACTTATCTGAATTTCAATCTCACCTCTACTAGATACTATGGGCTACTATCTGACTTCTAATGTATCCCCAAGTGTAAAGTGCAAATAGTAATTCTCCCAGGATTATACCAGTGAGTAAAATAGCACTTTAAGTGTCTAAGATAGTGACTACCATGGATGCTATATTAAATAAATTTGAAGGAGAAGAGAGAGAGACAAAGAGGGCGATCAATTAGTAAACAATAAAATTGTGGCAATAAACTAGGAATGAGGTAATGAAGACCTATGGGAAGATGTGGCCATGCAAAGAACAAGGGATTCGAAGGATATTTTGAAGGAATTAAAGCCTTTAGCGATAGATTAGATGTGGGGGATGAGGAAAAGGAAGAAATCAATAACTCCAAGGTAACTGGGTAGATGAAGTGAAGAAAGTTAAAATAGATAAGATTAGGAAACTGATACTGAAGGGCAAGTTAGAAAGAGAAAGCAGGATAGTTTTTTTTTTTTTTTAACTTTGATTTACAGGATTTTAGATTTTGGATCCAACTAGTCGCTCGTATATGTACATGAAAAGAAACTCAATCAAAAGACCATTAAACAACTTATAAAAATCTCAAAGCAGGTTAGTGGCACAAACAGGACTAAAACTTAGGTATCTTTATTCCAATATTAAGCAGCCATTTTTTTTTCTTTTGATCTGAGATTAAAATGCAAGAGATCCAAATGAATATTTTTAAGAGAAGATTGAAAAGGAACTCAGAAAACAATTGAAACTTTTAGGATGGGTGAGCTCACAGAATTATGATGTGTAGAGGGAGAGAAGGAAAAGGTAGTCAAATGGTTTAAAGTGCTAAAGAGATGACAGACTCTCAGAGCATTCCAGGTTTTAGTCTTGCCCCCTACCTCTCCTATTTGAAGGTATAACAATAATGATGATGATAATATTGACAGAAATTCAGCTCTTAAAATTGTCAGACTTCCATATATGATCTAATTGAATCCCATGACACTCTGTGAATAGATACTATTATTATGCCATATTATTAGACAAAGAATTTGGATGCACTAAAAGCTATAATCAAAGTCACGAATAAATGAAAGTCAGAATTTAAGTCCAGATAATTAAGTTCCACAGAAACAGAACTATATTTTTTGTCTAAACTGGGACACTCAAAAAGACAACAGAAGTAAACTGAAAAGCCATGGGTAAACCAGGTCATATGGTCGCCCAGGCTATCACACCACTAAGCAATCTGCCTCGAGTGACCTAGAACCACAAATGTTAGTTCTCCTAATTTGTAATTGCCTGAATTAAGTCCATTGAGACTTCTTTTATGATGTACCTTTCCTCCTACCTTAATTTCTTCCTTCTATTGGCTTCTTCTTTAATTGCAAAGTTTTCCCAGCATCCAAAATCTTCTCTTGAACTCTGCCTTATGTCCTCCAATTCTTCTATTCACAAGCAAGTATCCTCTCTACCAAATATTCTTTGCCGTGTATTCTCATGTCTCTCCCCACTGCTACCACCTTTGCTTCTGTCCCTTTCTCATGCTCCTGTTTCCATGCAATGGCCTCTTCTCTCTTTGTCCTCATTCTCCTTTAGTCAGTTACCTTTGTAATAACAAAGTTCTGACTCCTTGATTAAAAAGTAAACCATCGATGGCTCTCCATTGGTTTCAGGATATTATTTATAGCTTTGTAGCCTTATCTCCCACTCTCTCCTTATGCTCCAAGCTGAGCAAACCATTCGTCACCCATGAGGTCAGTGACCCTTCCCTATCTGTGCAGGTCCCATGGGTGGAATAGCACTCAATATACAAGAGGGCTTCAAAAGTTGTTTATTAAGGGAACGTTAAGTCAACTCAAAGGCTTCCTACTTTGTAATTCTATTCACATAGCACTAAGAACAGCATCTTATGCAAATAATAGTTGAATACATATTTCCTACATTTATTGTTTTAACAATGCTGCAGACTTCTTTATGGACATGTTGTAGTTAACGGAAAAAAGGGAATAATCTCTTAAAAGAGTAGCAATGTGATGATATTTGCCATCCCAAGACTGAGAGACATAATCTTACACTTCATTTTAAAGTCATGAGAATATCTTACCTACACAGATATATTTAAGCCTTTATATATGTGAAATCTATAAAGTTACTCTAAAAGCAAGTAATTACACAACAATCTCACAATGCACAAAAAGATAGTCTTGCCTTGGATGTGTGTTAAGAAATTTATGAATAATCACATATTTGTAGATATTTTATATTTGTTTTCCTTACCAGAGGAGTACTCTTTAGCAACCTCCCACCCCCCAAAAAAGGTACTCTTGGGGTCAATGGAAATCACATTGTTGTGTAAACAAATAGATCTAGAGGTTTTGACTAAAGAAGTGTTTTAAAAGTGTTTTCCCTTTTGTTTATGTTTTCACTGCTTAAATGACACTGAAAGATAGGGAGATAGACCCTAGGAAATCTCTACTCTGGCCTCTTCCATTAAAGCCCAATATTTATGGTGGGAATGAGAAATGTTGTCTGCCTGCTTTAATAACACTGTTATGTTATTCTGCCATGCAATGAAATAAAGTCATATGTTAATTAGAGAAATCATGATAAAATCTGATCTGTTGTAAGAAGTAGGGGGAAAAGCCTCCTATTGTTTCTTTAAGTAAATTCATTTAGGAGATTCTTTTGTTGTTGTTGTTTGTTTGTTTGTTTGTTTTCTTTCTTTCTTTTTCTGGAAATCCAAAATATTGCATGACCCCTAAATAAAAGAGTAATCAGACAAATCTATGTCAATATAAATACGGTATGGTTAAAATTTGAAAGGGTATGTCTTAACCTAAACATAAGTTACTTTTAATAGAAGTTAGCATTACAGTCTAAACCCTTTTGATGGGGCTAATAGACAGTATATGTCTTAGTCATTAAAACACAGACTACAGCAGTAACGTTGCCAGTTTAAATTCCAGCTACGCAAATAACAAGTTGTAAAACTTTGATCAAATTACTTAACTTCTCTCTAGTTCAGTTTGTCCATCTCTAAAAAGCAAAAAATAATAATATATTTCATATGTCATTGTGAATATTAAAAATATTAATTAGAACATAGCATGGTGTTGAGGACATAGGACACACTCAATAAATATCAACTATTTTTGTATACACACACAGAGGTTCTGGAGATTTCTCCAATTTAACATGGAATTATTTCAAACATACTTTATAATGCTGAGCTAAGTCAATTATCCCAAAACACATTTGAGTGAATAATAATGACCTTCTTATCTATGCAAAAGCAAAGGCAAAACAATCAAAAGTGAAAAAAAAAATCACTAACCATTGAGCCAGTAGTGCTCTGAAATGTCAGTTCTTATGTAATGATGGTCATGAGTAGGCCCAAGGGACCGTGTGAATGCAGTATCTTTGCCAAGGAAATCAGAAGCTGTTCCAGAGTAGAGGTATTCATCTGGGAGGAAGAAAAAAGATGCATAGGACTTTTAAGAGTATAGCAGTGGACACTACTTAAAATATTCAAATTTCACAGCATGACACCAAAGAAGTTTATTGTTTAACATCAGAATATGTTGTTTCATAAACGTTACTTTCAGATTTTGAAAAATTAGCTCAATTGAAGAAAAAAGATAACTCAATTAACTTTGTAAAACTGATGTTAGATACTTGAATATAAAAAAAATCCAAATTCTTTTGAATTAATAATTGCACATGCGTTGGTTTCTCTTTTGAATAAGCTCTTCCTCTTTCCTTTCTCCCCACAAATAATTCAAAAATATACCATAATTAGGAGTTCCTCTTTGTAATAACACACAAAATATATTAAAACTTAAATGCCATCATGAGGAATGGATTGTGTAATTAGTATTTACTTAACCGACACAACCTCAATGACCACCACTTTTCTTTGCCTAACCTCTGCTGAAAGGGAGCTTTCAGCACTGAAGTCATTCTCTGTAATTATAACATGTTGCATTCCTTGTAGCTAATCATGTCTCTAATAGTTCTGATAAACAGGAATTCTTGAAAAGGGAAAAATGTTGCCATTGCTGCATACCAAACTTCTTTGTCCTGTTATTTAGGAAAAGTGCATGTCCCTATGTTTTGTTTTTTGGGGGTTTTCTTTTGGTGGGGGGTGGGAAGGGAAGGGGGAGGAAGAAGGGGGGAAGTAGGGGAAGGTGGGGGAAGAGAAAGGGGAAGATGTAGGGGAAGGAGGGGGGAGAGTGAAAAAAGAAAAGGAAGAGTAGATGGAGGAAAAGGGAAGGAAGGAGAGAGAAAAGATGCAGGGAGGAAAAGAGTGGGGCAGAGGCCAATCTGTCCCAACACTAGTTATATCATTGAGTGGGGGTGGATGGGGTGGCAGAAAGAAGGCTGTCCCTGCAGTAGAATACGTCACCCCATGGAGAACGAAGCCTCTGCCATATTAAGAGACATTTGTAATCAACTACTTTGGATTACACTTAATGGGACAAAGCAAAAAAAGGCTAATCTCTACAGAGCATTTCGATTTTTTAAATGCTTAAATATGAAAACAAAGACATTGTTTTACTGAAATTCAACTTTCATTTCTTTAAAATTTTGTCTTGTGTAAGAAGCAATTTAGATACTTTCTAAAGTCCTTGATTATATCCATCGAAATAAGCTTTTCACTGAATTATTTGGGATAATTCAACCTAAATAATGACCATAGCCAACTTCTAAAGAAAACACAAAACAAAAACAAAAACATAAATGAGAGAAATCTAACTATGTAAAGCAATTGTAAATACGGTACTGTTTCTATCCTGTGAAGGCATTTCCCTGAAATATATTAGGTAAATGGCAATATCTTATTGTGAAGCAAGTTAAAAAAAAAAAAAATACCACCAACAACCACAATGGCATCATAGAAAAGCTTGGTAAGAGTAAAGAAAGCAAACCATCACTTTGAGATATATAAAATTGCAGATATTTGAACGTTTTGTCAGGAAAAAAAGGTATGTTTCTACCTAAAAATTGGATCTGAAAAACCAGGTTTTAAAACTGTCTTCTTTGTATCTAAAATTACTTAGGGATTCCTAAGAGAGGTCACCAATGCCTACCTCTATTGTTTTTTAAATTAAGGGTGTGTCAACCCTACTTGACAGATCAGAATCACAAATCATCTATCTCATTTTCTGAGAATAATGACGGAACATTAGTCATATAATTTTCAGAACACACAAAAATGCACACACTTTCACTTCAAAGCAAGATCACTAGTTGTAAGTGAAAATTAAAATGTCATGGTGCTTCTCCTATCATCTTCTATTCAAACATTTGATAGACAAGTTAAATAAAAAGAGATGAAAGTCATGAACCAAACCAAAACAAAAGAAGTCCTTATAATGGTTGAAATTCAGAGGTCTTGCCGACATTCCTCAGAAAAGACTTCAGACCACACAGCACTGACTTCTTTCAACAGGATGGTCATCTCATAAGAGAATTTAAGATGTATACAAAGTGAGAGAAGACTAAATGTGTTAGCAAAAATTTCACAACATTTCCATTAATATCATCAGGTTATAGAGAAATTGGGGAAAAGGTGTTATAATATTCTATTATTTGTATTCTGTAGCTTGATTCATTTGGCGTATTAATTTATCCACTTAGGGAACTACTAAATTTAACTTTCATACTGAGCCAAATAGGGACATAGTTCAGGAAAAGAAAATCCCAGACATCTAAATGTAAAATTACAGAACAAGTAAGTGTGTTTCATTTGCATTAAAAAGAATTCAGTCAGAAGTTTATTTGAAAACTAACTGTGCAGACATTAAGGATTGATGTGGCCTCACTTTATTATTGATAAAGATGCTCAGTACAGAGAGATTTGGCACTAAAATACTTGAATCAAATAGCTGGTGAAGATTAATCCAAAATTATATTGAACTTAATAAGAATATGTGGCTTAATCTACACATACCTTTACAGAAAATCATCTAACAGTGAGAACTGCCTATCATTGATCTTACCTGTCATTACTGAAGCAAAAGGTTGCTGAGGATCAAAAGGACATTTCAGTCTGCCAGACTCCAAATTATGCGTGTCTAACTTGAATATAACTTCCTGTTGTGAGAAACATTAGCACAAGTGAGATTTTTAAAAATATCACAATCAGCAAGAACATAGGAGATAACTAAATTTTAACTCATTAATTTGGTAAAAACCAATTGACTGTGTAGCATGTGCATCATGCTGTGCTCTTTAACTTTTTAGCAAATATTGTATCTGGCAAGACTCAATACCCATGTTTTAGTCTCCTTTTCCCAATGTGGTAATGATAATACTGTGTAAACTTTTTGTTTGGAAATAGTGATATACTCACCAATTCATTTAGTCTAGACCACTATAAATATCAAAATCACCACCATGTACACATATTTCTTAAGCTTAATAGCAAACTTATTGAGGCTAATAAAACCAATGTTCTCTTTAAAGAAATAAAATTGCTATAATGATTATACTTTCAAGATAATGATTATGGTCTATACAACTAAGCACTTGCAACTCTACCAAATTACTTAAACCTTGTGATATGTTTTAATGATAGTAGCATAAAAGTGTTCTCAGGCAGGTAGTTCATTTTCAGAGCTGTTGATACATGTGGACCAAGAAAAAAAAAAAAAAAGAATCCCGTTGTAGTATTTTCACTATGATGAAAACACTGTACACATTAAAGCCACATAGTTATTTTGGCTGAAACATCTATTTCTTTAATAGTGGTCACAGACAGAATGATATTGGCAGACTTATAATATTCAGGGAAAAAAAAAACATCTTACGTTGAACTTTCCAAGAAAAATATGAATGTATAATGAAGGCGGCCCCATGAACTTGAGTGTTTCATAGCAATGACAACACTACCATCCAGCTAAAAGGCTGATGACTCACCCAGTGCATACACTAGTTAGAGAAGTCCAGCATTTCAGACATTCTCTCTAGATTTAGAATCTTCAAAGTTAAATTGGAGCACACATATAACAGGAAAGGACCATTCAGTGCCTCTTATGTAGAAAGCAAGCAGTGAAGCAAAAGGGGTAGGCGGAGTTGGATTATTGGTTTATTATGTTGTAATTTAAGATCTTTTTCTTTTCTTTTGAACAAGACCAATAGAAACAACTTCATCATTAAAAAATAATCATAGCAATTTAAATAGGCTGATTTACAATTGCTATTCCATAATTTCAAGTAAACACATTTTAATACTAACAATAATGATACCTAACTGTTAATAGCTACTAAACAAGGACCAGGGATTTATACACTTTTTCTCATTGGATTCTCACCACAAGCCTAATGATGTAGCTACTTTAATAATTCCAGCTTTGCAAGTGTACTATTGAGGACTGAAAGTGGTACATACCTTGCTCAGTGTCACATAGCTATTAAGAGGAAAAGCAGGAGCTTTGTCTCCAAAGTTCACACTCTTAACTAATCTAGTTCCAGAATTTCAAACTCATGAATTTAAAAATATGTTGAAATCAATTTATAGACCCTCCATGACTATGTAACATGATCAAGTCCAAGTGTGTTTAGTTTGGACAGGTCAGCTAATGAAAAGTTGTGATACTGGTGTGAAAAAAAGTCCAATGAAAACACATTTAGGGCATGCTTCCCATATGTGGGTGGGACCAGAGGCATGCCAGGAAAAAAACACCTGTAGATAGTGCCTCTTAAGTATAGTTAAATATCATTAAGGGTACATTATTCTCTACAAGTTAAACAGAACTGTTGACTCTAAAAGCCTATAATGGGATATCGTAAAGAGAAAAGTAAACTAAATTCTGGTGACCCAGAAGATTATAGTAAAAAGCTAAAATACAAAAACCAAGAAAATATCTGGGAGAATGCCATGGTGGATCCAAGATACTAGATAAACTTACAATTGTATAGATTTCTGTTTTTAAATATAATATTTCATTAAATTTTCAAGAAAATCCCATATAATTGATGTTTGTGGAAGCTGAAAACAAGGTCTCCTTTATAATCTCCTGGAGAAAGAATATAGCAAGACAGCAAGTTTCCTTGAGCTAGTCAAGGACAACTACAGGAAAATAAAGTAAAAAATACTAGATGATTCAATGCACTTCCTGAGATAAACTGACTGAATTACATGACACTCTAAATTTTGAGGCTTCAATTTTATAAGATTTTTTCCTACAAAATTCCTTAAGCTTAGGTCATTATACAAAAGCACCTGTCTGAACTACACACACAGGAATATTGTTAGAGAAGAGGAAAGCGGATCAGAATGACAGTAAGAAAACATTTAATCATCACAACTAGGCAAAGTTATAGTTAATACCATCTCCATTTAAAGATGAGATTTGCAGCAGAAGAGGGGAGAACACACAGGAAAGAACGTAGTTCCAATCTGATTATTAAACACCCATATTACAGGATATATATATATAAAGTGTATTTATACACTTTTGAAATTCATGCCTCTTTACTTTTTGTGTTCCTGTTGCTAAGTAATGGATGCGGATTAAGTAACTGGAATGGGACAAGTGCTATGCCAAAGCCTGTACAATCATTTCCTCATTTTACCCTCCAAATAACTCTGGGAGGTAGTTACTATTATTATCATCATCATTTTACTGAATAAATAGAAGCTTATAGATTTTTGCAGTGTGCATCAGGCCGTGGAGCTGGAAAACGACTGGAGCCACGTTTCACACTTGGGTTGTCCAGGCTCAATCTACTATTGTTGATGGCAACCCTGACTTCTCTCCTGAATTGCAGATCCAGCTGCCCATTTGGCATGACCTACTGAACAGATCTTAAATGCAGAATATACAAAACCAATTCACCATTTTCCCACAAACTAGTTATTGCTCTCACCTCAATGAATAACATCACTCTCTCACTCACTGCCAAAGTCAGGAAGCTGGGATTCATCTTAGCTTCTTCCTCTTTCTTCCCATTACCCCAGGCACACTGCCTAGCAGTCCCCAGAGTGTGCCTTCCTCCACCTCTCTGGCACACTTCTGTTCTCTCTTCCCAACCACCTCAGGAGCAACTTTATTAATATGAAAATGGAAGGGCCTTCTAAACTCCCTCTAGAAGTACAATGATTTCTTGGGACTAATGATTCATAAGAAAAGTTAACAATCCTCAAGCAGGGCTGCCATACAATTACCTGTACTCCTGACCAGCTGAAAACTCACAAGGCTCAATACCCCTGTTCACTCATAATTCTCTTATTCATAGAACTTGTAAATTTGACTGCCCCAGGGCTTCTTGACAGTCCCAAGCTCAGTAATTAGCTCCATCTAAATTCCCTTTCAGCACTTGTGACTTTTAAAAAGCTATAGAACACTATTTGCTTCCCTCAGCAGGTTGCAAGTTTGGCCTTTAGCCTTAGGCCTCAAAACACACCCAAGCTGTGGGGCTATCTCATATAATTACACCCTATGCTATGAGCTACTGTTATATATTACCCTTCATCAAAGCCAGGCTGGAGAACATTACACCAGCAACAAAGAATGATGGATTCGAGTTGCCAAGTCTCCTAGAGGTTCAGAGATTTAACTATCAGGGTTGCTCTGTTTTCCAACAGTTCAGTCTGGGCTGGTTAGAAAAGTTGGTTGGAGAGGAAAAATCTGTCTAGCCACAGTTGTGGGTTTGACTTCAGCATGAATCAGTTAAATCCGTGTAAAGAAACGTGCTTCATAAGCCTAGACTTTACTTTCAAACACACAGCCAATTATCTTGCAAATATGTGTGGTTATTCACAAGAAGTATATACATAAACATGAGCACAACAGGACATGCAAAGAAATACTTCAGAGCACATATTCTAAAGCTCAGCTGGACATGCTTGCTCTAGATACAGACTCCTTGTCTATTTTATCCACTGAGACTCAATTTTTGCTAACCTGTAAATTGGGAATTATAATGGTACCAACTTCATTGAGAGTGTTGTGAAATTCCAAAGAAATAATCCACAGAAAGTTCGTGGCACAGTCCGTGACACAAAGAGCACTCTAAAGAACTGGTAATTAACTAAATTACCTAAATCTGCATGTTTCTCATTTATTAAAATGCTTGTTGATATCTGGAATACATTACTCCTAATTAATATATCCTTTATTTCCACTATGTCAATTTGGTCCAGCAAAAACAATGAGTTCAGTGTGCCATTAACCATCTATACAAATCTAAGAAAGTCATTAAAATTTTCTTTACATAGTGTTCTCTATTGCAAACATACGTAACAGGTCAACTTTATTAGATGAAAAAATGAAATTATTTTAAGGAGAAATTGCACTACAAGATCTTATAGAAAATGTTTTTGTTTTACCAATAGCAACATACTATATATATATATAGAGAGAGAGAGAGAGAGAGAGAGAGATAGTTATAAAGGAAACTCAGAAGAAAATAAATACAGACATAGAGACCATAGAAAAAAAGGCTCCTTAAACATTTTTTTTTTCTTTTTTTTGTGACAGGTAAGGGTATCACAACCCTTGGCTTGGTGTCGCCCAGCACCTCTGCTCAGCCAAGCCGCACTCTCCCGAGTGAGCCACGGGGTCGGCCCCTTAAACATTTTATACTATCAATTTTCATCATCTGACTAAAAACAACTTTTAATGGAAAAAAAATTTTATTTGGTAGATAAAGTGTAAAATGAAAATCACAGTCCATAAAACAGTTAGAAACATGAGTTCTTATTTAGTTATAAACTATGCTTCAATCTTTATATTCAAATCTGCCTGCTTTATGTCAAAGGCATTAAGTATCAATGTATTACAATAAATTATGCTTTTCATGCCACTTCATTAAATTACCTCCTTATAGACTCCAAGATCAATATATCCACATAAAGGATGAAATGCTCCAGTTCCACATGCATAAATGTGAGTTTTGTTATAGGGTTGAAGTACTCGGATGAAATTAGCACATTCTGTCTGTTGAGCATAAAAATGAAAAGCATCAGCATACCATTCAGGTTTTTGAAAGATTATCATTCATACCACCTGTTTTTCAAAAAGATAAATCATCACAAATAATAGCAAAAATGAAATAGATTTATGACAAATATTTAAATACCTGATTTAGCAAAGGAGGCAAGACAAATATAGAAAGTAGGGCTTAAAAGAGTGACTTTTCAGCTTTGCGAAGTTACAAAACTTTTGAACTAATCAGTGTTAGAACGTAAATCTCAATAGTGGAGATTTACGTTCTAAATCTCCTAGAAAGTGGATATAAACAGAATATGAAAGAGACAGCCATACTTTCTTTCAAGAAGTACATAGAGAACAAAATCTATTGTGCTCTGACAATACATCAACTATCTCATATACCTACTACTGTTTACAACATCATCTGACCCAGCTACATTGAACACAAATATGTATTCGTAGATATGTATTCCTTCCTATTGACAAAAATGTCTACCACTTATTTCCTTTTATTTTCAAATGTTACAGAATTTATGAGAATCAGATTATTTCCTGCTGATTTCAAGAGTCTCTTTTGTTTTTCCCATGACAGTTTTTTTACATCAAGTCAGATTTTTGAAGAAATTTTTATACTTCTTATTTCTATCTAAAAATATTTCTTTACATCATTATTGTCTTTAGAACTTCATTATTGTCTATCCACTATTTATTAGTAAATCGTGGCTCCCTAGTTTTCAGAATATTCATTCTTGTTATTGTATATTATTTTCAAGTTACCTCCTCTAAGTTATTCCCTATTTATTCCCAATTATTTACATAATTGTTAGAAGCAGTTTCTCAACTATGGCTTACTGATTCCTGGACCCAAAGACCCCTGAGAAATCACTGCGCTGCAGCACACTTTCATTCTAGATTGATTCTACCCAGGAGACAAGCAAGTGTTTACTAGGGAAGTTGGAGATGCATGAAACCACTGGGTTTCATAGAAAAAGTCCAGTTTCACCCTTCCTGAGTGGCCATGGGTTTCCTCACCAGTCTGTCATTGACATAATGTCATTTTTGTTAGGGTTGTTGGGAGAAATATATATATATATATATATATATATATATATATATATATATTTAAAACAACAACAACAACAACAAAACAAAAATAACCTAAGACAATGACCTAATTGACAAGGTGGTTCTTAGAATTAAAAAGGCAGACAAAATCACAGCTAGATAGGACAGATAAGTTCAAGTGGTCTACAATAGTGCTAGACATCTATAATTAACAATAATTTATTGTATTTTTTCAATTGGCTAGAAGAGAGGAACTCAGATGTTCTCAACAGAAAGAAACAATTCTGCAATAACAAATATGCTAGTTATCCTGATTTGATACTCACACATTGGCTACACATATTTTAGTATAACTGTACCCCATAAATATGTACAATGCATGCAAATTAAAAAAGGCAGATGATGACTTAACTGATAAGATTGCTATGATGGTTATGCAGATAAAATGATATAACACAACATTTAATAATTGTTTATTCATTACCCTGAATTCAACCTATAGAAAACGTCAATATCCAAGCAGCTGCTCTGATTTTAGGGTGAATAATTATATCTGCAAATCTGTGCTACAGGGTTCTTAGCTCCTAATTCTTCCTTCACCTGGCTAGCCTGCAACTTTATGTCTCAAGAATTTGTAGATGCCAGTTAACAAAATCTTCATATACTATCAAAGAAGAATGCTACATTGAACTCAGTGAGTTTTCTGCTCTCTGCTTCCTTATAAACACAGTGTTGCTTAAGATTGTGAGAAATTCCAGGATTGGTTCCTCTGCCACACAAGTAGAGTATGTTCATTAGTCAGGTAGGAAGATTTAGCACTCTTTAACAAGAGCAGGGCCCTGTGTATAGTTCCTTAGGCTGTATACTGCAGAAGGACATCAAATAGAGTTGCTTAGGATTTATGCTACAAAAGGATGTCCTAAGGATGTACAAATCACACTGCAGACATTTTTTAAAAAATATTTTCCTACGTTTATTATACATAGATTCTTAACAAAGGAAATATTATATTTTAAGTCAATTTTCTGGAAGATCGTCTTGTTTAACAAAATTATATTATGCCAGTTTTCCACCTTCCCATCAAAGTGTCTGATAACAGGAGCTTACCTTCTATTTGCACAAAGGCACCACCAAGGAACTAGCTTCACATTCTTTAACACCATGTTATGAAATCTCAAATGAAAACCTAATTCAGAGAGTAAATATGCCATACTAATGGTTCTGAACAAACAATGGAGGCACAGTAATGTGAGAAAAGCCAAGGCAAAGAAATGTACATAATCACCACAAAAGTTCTAATGATGCCTCATGGCTAAGGTAGGAGGTTTCAGTATTATCCAGCCTTTATCTTGCTCACTCATGTTTACTGAAGGGGTTTTTATTTCTTGGCCTTTCCTCCACAAACAGATTCGTGCAAGGGTGAGATCTACACAAGGAATAGTACACGGGGAGGGGAAGAGCAAAATTATAAGGCTGGAGTGAGGTGGGATTGACTCATTGCTAGTTATTTCATCATTTTTTTCAAAAGCTCATTTTTATCAGATAGTCATAGAACTTAGAGGGTAATTTCACAAGATTCTGAAATAAATATTTGCATAAAGAAATTAAACAACTCCCTTTCCAGATTATAAATTATGGAGTCAGAAAGATTAGGGACTAAGAGAGACACAGAACTGTTTACAGAGACAAGTAAGGCCCAGGGTGAAGTTTTATACACATAGACAATATCATTGTAGTGATTAAAATAAAAAGCTCTGAATCATACCTAAAACATTTCCCATTCTTTAACATTTCTAGGAGTACTTTATTAAAATACACCAAAAATAATCTAGTTTGTCAGTTCCCTAACTTGGTGAAACGTTATCTAGGATTAATGCACTCCTCATGTCTCTGAACGGGCTGACATGGAATAGAAGATAAGGGTAAGTCTTGAGTTATCTGACACAGTTTACAAAAAAGTCAGTTCTGCTCAGTAAAAGTTTTCTGTGGGGAAGTTGATAGGGGCTAAATCTCCAGGCAGCCTAAAGGCAATGGAAAGGCATCGGTTGCTTGAGGGAAAGACACCTGTAAACAGAGTTATAATAGACAAGATCACCTATTTCAAATTTTTCCTGGGGCAGACATTTCAGCCAAACAATTCTTGCTACAAAATCTTCACAATGACTTCCCTTTTAATTCATAATTTCAATTATTAAGTCTCAAGGATTCTATGTTGTATTTGTTTTTTATGCACAAAGTTTCAAAGTTTTGTTTATATAGCATGATCAATAATTAGCTCGATTTAATTCACTTACTGACCTGCATGGCTAATGGTAGCGGAACTCTGTGAGTCCTGAAGAAAGATAACTTTGAGAAGCAGCTTTTTATTTTTCCCTGCAAGCTGGCTAATTTGTCAGCTATTGCCCTCGATGGCAATTGTCCATGTGACCAAACAATCCTATGAGTAATATATTCAACTTTGAAAAGTATTGAATTTCTCCTTCCTCCCCTTATTCCAGCCTCTTCCCCTTTCCACCCCCCACCCTCACTAGAAGAGAAAGAAAAAGAAAGATAACCAAAAACAAGTGTCAACTTTTTTATTCTCTCAGGTAATATTAGATTTTATCACGCACATCCATACACATATAAATAATCAAATAAATATAATAAATATAAAGCTGAAATAAGACTTGAAGAAAAGACAAATATATGTCAGTCTGTGCATTAACACTTAGAATTTTAGTTTCTCACCAGATACCTGGGAAAATATTAGCAAAACAGAAGTACATGTAGTTCTCAAGACTTACACAGAGCCCAAATAAACCCAATACAGCTTCATATGTAACTCTGATAACTGACTTACAATTGCTAATTTTAATTTATTTAGGTTAAATATGGGAAGACACTCATGATTTAGGAATCTGGTCTGCTTTTATTTGTAGGTACCTTTTTGCAGAATAATGTGATCATCAAACAGTTTTTGAGCATTCACTACATGCCTGTCACCGTGCTACAGATTAGGTTTGCCTAGCAGTTCTGAAATAGAATCCGGTGTGAAGATATATCTGTTTCCGTCTTAGAATGTTTAAACTATTTTAATACATTGTCAACAATTTAAAATAAATATGTAAAAATCCAAATATCATATTTCTCTTTTAAAAATGATCTAACAGTGGAGATTTCTAAAGAGCAATAATAATCTGTAGTAGTAAAAAGGCAAAGGAAAACATTTTACTTTTTTATGCTTTTTTAAATATTTAAAAGTCAACATATTAAATAAGATAACTGATAAAAAATATTTTTCCATGAGTGAAACACAAACTAATAATATATATGTGTGTGTGTACATTAACATATACATGTATACATATATATGTTTCATAAATCTATAAATAATCTAAAAATAATCAGTAAGGAAAATGCAAACACTAAAATTAAAAAAAGAATGAATTGTGAGAATATGCCATTTAAAAACTCCTAATTTTACAACTATACAAAATCTTTAGTATTTGTAACAATGAAAGAATTTCAAGCTAAAAGAGTAAAAATAATTTTTATTTTTGTTGGCAAAGGTAAAATACATTTTATCCATTTATGCATTTGTAATAAACATCAAATGTATGTTGTATCCAATATTAGCCAGGTATATGGAAATATACCTTCTCATGATCATGCACTGCTGGCTAGAGTATATGAAGCATGAACTTTCTGGGGGGCAATTTGGCAATACGTCTATAAAAAAATTTATGTTTAGTAGAAGCCTATTCAATATCAAAGATGCTTGCAATATTTATATATAAATTTTTTCATGTGCAGTATCATCTGCAATAGTAAAAACTGGATATACACCAAACTTCTAACAATAGGGGATTGATGAAATAATGTCTAGAGGAATGTAGTGTAGCTATTAAAAGTAGTGTTATAAAAAGGAATTTAATGACATGGGAAAAGGTTCATGCCAGTCTGTGAAGTGGAAAAAAAAATGTGTTAAGGAACAATGATTTCATTCCGAAAAATAGTAAATAGATAAGATAGAAGAATAAACATCAAAATATCACCAGCTATCTCTGGGAGAGGAGGTATTTACAGATGACTCCTTTTTCCGTTTTTTGTACGTAATTTGCAACATTTTTACAATGAATTCTTTGTTTTATTTTTAGATTTTCTTAAAAGGTTAAAAAAAATCGGGCTGGCCAGTGGCTCACTTGGGAGAGTGTGGTGCTGATAACACCAAGGCCACGGGTTTGGATCCCTATATAGGGATGGCTGGTTAGCTCACTTGGGAGAGTGTGGTGCTGATAACACCAAGGCCACGGGTTTGGATCCCTATATAGGGATGGCTGGTTAGCTCACTTGGGAGAGCGTGGTGCTGACAACACCAAGTCAAGGGTTAAGATCCCCTTACCAGTCATCTTTGAAAAAAAAAAAAAAAATCAAATAATGTAATCCTAGAACTTTAGAGGTGGAAGATCCTCTAACTCTCTGCTGTGAACCTCTTCAGTTAAGCTGATAAAAAGAGCTAAGGCTGCCCTCACCCTGTACTTTCTTTTGCCTGGACTGAGCTGTCTAACCAGTACTTATAGGCAGGACTAAAGACATTTTTGGTGACTTTCTTTTGAATAACCATCATCCAAACAGAAGCAAAATACTACCAAATATCTTCCTGTCACCTCTTCCCGTCCCTGGATTAAACTGGGGACTGTGTTCAAGAAAGTGGAATAGTTCTCTTTTGTTTCCTCATTCTCCACTGCCTCCCAGCTCCAATTAGCTAACTTTCATTCTGGTAAATAATTCACCATTTTGCAGTTATATAGTACCTTTGTGTAAAGGGACAGTCTTTCCAAACACTTGTTAATCCTAAACACACTCTTGGGAAGCAGATAAAAATTACTAGAGAGGTGGGAAAAGAAAGGGTAATGCCAACGCGAATAAAAGATGTTGATAAAACCACAGACTTGTCTCAGTTTTCTGTTAATCAAAATCTGTGCAATGCTGTTCAGTATGGTATACTGAAGAGAAAAATTATTAGAGAGATACAATTTTTAGACCTTACATGTAGATTTTATAGTGCTATGTAAGAGCACAGAACAAGGGGCAAGACCTCTGGATTCAGTTCCTGGCTTCACTATTCACCAAATATGTAATATTGGACAAGTCATTTAATTTTTCTGGCTTTAGTTTTCTCATATGGAAAATAGAGAAAAATAATAAAATCTAGCATATAGTGTTGTTATAAGGATTAAATGAGATTATAAATGTAAAGCATTGAAAGCAGTTCCTTGAACATGGTAACTGCTATGAAAGTGTTAGCTATTATTAGTAACTCTACAGTAGTACATTATTTTAAAGAGACAAATTAAAAATGAGGAGACAAAGGCTTGTATTATCCCTAAATGATTCAACATCAAATTTTACAGACTTTAGTAAAAAGAGAAAATCTCCCATGTCACTAATCCTGTGTTAGCAGTAGATGTGCTTTAAGGTTAGAGGTAATTACTAGTTCATGAATAGAATCAAACTGGAAGAATATGTTCCATATTCAGAGTTCTCGAAGATACCATCTCCAGAAAAGTTTATCACCATTTGTTTTAACTTAATAAGATGGGTAATTAAGTTACTATATAACTGGAATTAGTGAACATACTGAAGTGAGAACACTGTCACAGTTTAAACCTTCACTGACTGTTTAACCTTGTGTGTTTCTCTCATCTACTTCATGGGAAATTTGACATTAGTTTACTGCAGTAAATTAAAAACATTGTTTTCCTACTTGCCTCCTCATTATACACTCAATATTGGTCAAATACAAAATACAAAATGTCCATGTTGGTTATTCCATGCTTCTGTTCATTCAACAAAATAATTTTGAAAACTCTCATAAACAAAGCCTTTTTTCCTTCCATGTTCAATATTGATATTTTTGCAGACCTGGGCACTTGCTCAGTGTTGGGATGTTGAACAGAGTGAAGATATTAGAGCTATGGGAGGAAGAAGAATATATTCTACAATTGTTTAATCTCTTACATTTCTAGTAAAATAAATGTAAGAGCTGTTTTCCATTACATTTGACACTAACACTCCCTGATATATTTCTGACATAATACAAAATCAGGCAGAACCACGTTTATTTATTTATTTATTTATTTATTATTTTGTTTTGAAGTCATGTTAGTACGTATAAGTTATCATTTGAGTAATATCTATATCCCCCTTTAGATGAAAGCTCCATGATGATAGATACCATTTCACACATACCTTTAGGCTCTCTATAAATATTTGTTGAATAAATGAATGAACAAATGAGTGAACTAACTTGTAGTCTCAGATACTTTGTCTTCTAGGCCTCCCCTCAATTCATTAAGCATCATGTGTCACATTGTTTACTTATATCACATTGACAATTTTTTAACTGAATTATGCTTTCATATAACACACACTATCCATTATTATTAAAAATAGGCATTGCTCAGCTTCACACCCTTGTGTTATTGTTGTTACAGGTAACATTAAAGAATGTTGCAAAAAAGCCTCAAGATATCCATGATTCTGCCCAAGGTTTTCATCTTGAGTTACATTCAGGATATGATTAATTTAGCTGAAAAAGAGCAATTCTCCCCATCATTGAAGTGCAAGAATTCAGGGCAGAGCACAGAGCATCTGGCCCTCAGATGGGGAAAGGAGGCAGTCAGAGCCACACACTCTTCAGTCCTTGCAGGAGATAGAACAGCTAACACACTTTGTGGGAGTTTGCAGGACTACTTAGTGCAAAAGCAATCCAGACAGGACCACACCAAAAAAGAATAGTTAGTCATACCTGTCTAAAAGTTTTCTCTCGTCCTTAAGGTATCTTAAATTAAAAGTTTACATTAGGCCCCCTATTTATCTTTTATAAGTTACTTCATATCATTGTTATTAAGTACATTTTAGAGTAAATTATTTCTAATTCTTGTGCCAGAATGCTGTGTCATTCATTCTCAACCAATTCTTCTTGTTACCTCTACAATGTCACCATGTGAAAGAATACTACTAAGTGTTTTAAGTTTAATTTCAACTCAAATGAAATGAAATATTAATTGTATATGCTAGTGATGCTATAACTGATGGTTTTGTGTACACTTACAAAATACATGTATATAAATTAAAAATATATATTAAACAAACAATATTTTCTGATGGTGTATTTTTAAATATTTTAATGTTTCTAATTTTTTAAAAAAATATTCAGAATTACTACATTAAAAAGTGTAGTATTTCTAAATTTCTGAATTTTTGTGAATAATATCATTGCTCTTGGCAAGGTAGAAATACTTTACAACATATTAACCTTTACAAATAATATGTTTGTTTAGTCTTAAAAATAATACATTAATGCCAGTAATTCAATAAAACCCAACATAAATATTTACTATCATATCAGTACCAGTTTAACATAGATAATTTTCAAAGTTTTATACTTACATTGGCGTCTTTTCCAGCTAATTTACATAATTCCACTCGTTCCTTTGCAGCGGGCCAATAAATCTGTAAAACATTTCAAGGTATGTTAGGATCTGAATATCTAAAACACCCTAACACCCTTAAAATTCTGATTAGAGAAGTGAATGTGTGAAATTAAAGAATGGATATTAAACATGATTTTAGAGGCAATGTGGAAATTTCAAGATTTAAATATTTTCCAAAGCCACTCTGAAAAGTTTCTAAAAAAAACTGTGTAGGACCTTACATTTTTATTTGTTAATCTTCCAGTTTCTCTTTTAAGGTATGTAATAATAGATAAATTACGTTCAGTGGGCCATAAGTTCTCATTGTGATATCAACAGAATTTCACATTAGTGTTTGCCTAAATAAAAGGCTCTACATACCCTGTTTTTCTGTGTTGACTCAAAGTGATGGTGCATTATAAACATGTGCAATGAGGTGATAGGAAAAGCTCTCTGTCACAAGTATAAGTTACACCTCGAAGCCAAGGATCAATGTGAAATTGTTGACAATATTTAACATACATAGAGCTCAGACACATTTGCCACTCAGCTAAATATTTTATAAGGATTATCTTATTTAAATTTCACAATGACCCTGTAAGATAGCTTTACTTATTCTTCCCTTTTTCAGGTCAGAAATCTTACTCATACAGCTGTTGAACATGTCGAGGGCCACAAAACTAGTTTGTGACAGAGCCACAATCTGACCCAAAGTCTTTCTACTGAACTGGGGGTCTCAACTATTAATATTAAATGTTATTTGTGCAAATAATTAAGATCTAGGGCACCAGACTCTGGTTAGCAACTTTTAATTATGCTCAACAGTCTTAAATTTATTAGAAAGTGGGTTTTTTTGTTTGTTTTTGTTTTTTTAAACAAAATTTAGGATTTCTGTCAGGAGGTTTTTGCAAAATGAGGTTCAAACAGTTAGGTTACTTCATTAGCTTACAGAAAGAATGCTCTCTGTTAAGCCACAGGCAAGAAGAAACAAGAAAAGCAAGCTCTGAGATGCTTATAATGTAAGCTCCAAGAGTTCCTGACAGACTTTTATTGTTTCTCACCAGTGTTAACAGAAAATGTTTTAATGGCTGAGGAAAAAAGAAAATATCCTGAGGGAATACCCTGACTTGTTAAACCTGGAATTAACAAAGGATTTAGAAGTCACCAATGTTTATATGATATTATCTTGATAGTAAAATTTTAGGGTTTTATGTCTCTAAATAAAGAACAACAGAGAATAGCACTCAAAACTCTCATCATAGACAAATACAATAAAACTATTGAGATTTTAAAATGAAGTAAGGTTGTTCATTTAGAGAACATTTTGAGAACCCACAAATTACGATGCAAAGGTGTATACAGGCAGGGTGGCTGAGCCAGCAGCAGGCTCAAGTGGTGAGCCAACCTTGATGTGGTTCACAATAAGGGCCTGAAAATGCTATTTATTCAGAAATGGTTTAAATCACTGCAATTGTACTTTCACACACAATTTGAAATAGTATCCAATACTCAAATATCAATGAACAACAGCAACACTAATCACTATGAGTGAATCTTGGCAATTCATTAGTAGGTTAAAACAAAAGAACATCTCTCAAAATTACAATGAGCATGATCCCTTTAGAATAAAGTTCAAAACAACTAAAATAAGACAGACACATTTGAGGCATTTAGAAAAATTGTTAACCAAGATGGAAGGAAAAAAAAAAAAAGGAATGAGTTTGTGGTAAGAAACAGGTTATTTACCAGATCCTAGATTTTGTTCTGAATGGTGTGTTTTCAGATGTTTAACACATAATTAAAAACAAGCAATGTAGGTTAATGTAGATACATCAAATGGGCCACACATGGACAAATTGATTATAGTCATGAACCCAGAATCACGAAGTCCTAAATAAATAAATAATAAAAATAAAACAGTGCAGCTAGCAGGGAATTTGAAAGTATCTTTAAGTTTTTGTCTGTATGTTTGTTTGTTTTTAACCATTGGTAGCCAGAATACTGAACTGAGTGTTTCCTCTCCTTTAAAAATAACATCTTGTACTTAAGGAGTCGTTGCTCCATATTTGAGCTTATGAGCTCAAGGTATCTTCTCACTTTTTTCTCACTAATTCTATTTTTATTACTATTTTTAATAGTGATAAAATATACATAGCATAAAATTTATTGTCTTAACCATTGTAACTGTATAATTTAGTAATATTAAGTATATTCACATTGTTGTGTAACCAATTTCCAGAACTTTTTTATCTTGCAAAACTGAAATGCTATAACTTGCTGATTCTTTAATATTTTAATGATTTTTCAAAGGCCAACTTTAAATAATGGAACATAATACAATACACAGAATACATATCCATGATCTGTCAATTGGTTTAATCTTAGCTCACTGTATTTAATCTCTAGTCTAGATTAATATTTCTTTGAGTTATTTCACTATGTCAGATCCTGTTCTTTCTGTTTTAGATGACGGTCAGATTTAATCACTTTTCAAAAATAAATTTAGGACAAATATTTATAGATTTGTCCAGAGCTACATATCTTATTGATATTAATACTATACGGAAAAAAAAGAAAATATAGAACTTTTTTCATGTTAAGTAAATGAGTCCTAAAGAGAGGAAAGATCATCACAGGGTTTTATTTTTTACATCAAACCAGTGTCTTGGGTGATTGAGTTAAAAGAAATTATAAGATAAATGTTGTCTCCAAAACTGAGTTTGAATATATCCATTGGTGCTTTCCAAAGGTTGTTTAAAGAATAACAAAATGTGGAAACAATCTTTGTATCATTTTTGAAATCTAAGTGAAAGTTTCACAGTTAACACCAAGCAGTTACTGTTCATTAATCATTTGTTCATTAGACACAAAATTATGAAGCACCTTCTGTATGCCAGGAGAGGCATGGGATTGAGGTGCTTGGATCTGGGTCAGGACGACAGCACAACAGACAGAGTAACTACATTTTCTTGGGAGATGCAGAGTGAGAAGAATGAAGACACTGTGACGGGGAGCACTAAGGAGCACTTCGTGGTAAACAAACTCTTTATCCCTCCCTAGTTTTGAGCCATTGTTTAAAATTACTTGTTTTTAATAGTTTTATCTCAAATGTAATAGTTTAGTTTTGTTTAGCTGAACAGTTTCAATTCTAATTTTGTTAGAGACTTAACACTAAAATAGCAAAGCATATTTTATTCTCTTTGCAAAGGAATGCTAATCTCTAAAAGGTGCTTTAATGGGCTCTGTCATACATTTTCGGTTATCGATTATAAGTCATATAACTGTAAATTGAGTTGTATCATCCTAGTTAATGCAATAATAAAACTAATTATAAGCTTCAGAGAATTGGCTTTTTGATTAGCAGGTAAATGTTGTACAAAGATACACGAGCTCTGAGAATTTGTTGAACTCCAGTAGCCAATTTATATAAATATTCCAATCTTTGTTTACATAACAGATTTTTTCCCAAAAATGTCATCTCTCTTCTCATTATTCATCTTTAATACCTTAATGTCTAGAACCTGATGAAAACAGAAATTATCCTTGGATCATTTGTATCATGGCACAGGGATTCTAAGACAGTGTCACAAGAAAATTTTACTTCTTAATGTAACATTCAAGTCTTCAAAATAAGGATTTATTGAGATTACATACTGGCTTATTTTGACACAATGCTGTCAAGAATTTAGGAATCACAAGAGACTTACTCAGTAACAACAACCTATGAGATATCTGATTATGTTCCAGAATCTAAACATTTACTTAGTAGGAAAAAAAAAAATCATTGTAATTGTGACAATATTTAAAAGATGTCATTTTAATTACGATTTATGGTAGGATTTTCTTTTACTTGCCACCTAGTCATTAGGATAAAGGGTTGTTTTTTTTTTAATATTCCTTTGGATTCCTAATTGATAAAGAATTTTTAAAAACTGAATTTTCCTCAATTCAATCTAAAAACAGAGAGAGACAAAAAATTTTTTTTTAAAACACACTCTTAGACTTATACAGAGTTGGCAAAAGTATGTTCAAGTAACTATTTTGTTTTTCAATAGTCTTTTGAAGTGACACAAATAATGTGCAATACACACACATATATAAAATAGCATTCCACTAGTTCCATATTTTTCTAGTCTAATTATGTGGGGGGAGGGTGTAGGTGGATGTGGAAGGGGCAAAACAGTAAGAGAGAAATAGAGACAGAGAAGGACACACACAGATACATGGAGGGAGAGATAGAGATGTTAACTTTGATTGAGTATAGAATATTATATATCTCACATATAGTCTCAAGTTTCAGCATGGGTCATACAAAAGCTCAAGAGATGCCTGAGATTCTTAGATTATTTTAGTAGACCAGTCAGTACACTTTGAGATTGACCCATTCTTAGACAGAAATTACACCATACACTTGAAAATACAATGTCCCACAATATTTGTAAGAAGTCACTTCTCTTGATCACTAGATAATGTGAACAATTTCAGTGTAGCAATTACACATATTCTCACTGCTTCATGAATTTATCAGCAATAAAATGCCATATACTTTTTCTTGCACTTTAGTACCTTACACCCACAATATGTGGGTATATTAAAAGTTGCATTTAGTAGCACAAAACAAAGCACATAACCCTGTTTCTAAAAGTTGATGCAGCTGTACTACTCCCTTAAAATGTTAACCCCAGATATTTTTCTTTCACTTTTCAGAGTCATACCCGAAGCAGAGACGCCACTTGCATCACTGCACTATTTCAACTGTCCCGAAATATTCCCATGGAACACTAGTTCTTAATTAACCTTGTGTGATATTCAGATTTTAAGGCTATAGTTCTGGTGGGAAGTGATCTTTGGGGCCTTAGGGATTTGATATAAACAGCTGCAAATATGTAGACAGCTTATTGCTGCTCTCCCCACCCATGTGCAGAAACTTCAGAAATTAAAGGAGATCATCTCTGTGGATCCAGATGAGCCCAAGAATTCCTCCTGGGTTAATCATCCAGGGTGTAACTACAAATTGAGCCACTATAAACAATTATGGCT